AAGTCAGACAAGCGGCAAGCGGTTAGATCAGAAAATCAGGAGAAAGCCCCGGAGACGGTTTAAAATTCAGACTTTATATCGGCCCGGGAACCGATGCCAAAGTTTGAGCAGCGCCCCGCGCCCCCGAAAACGGTTTGCATCTCAGAAGATTAGTGTTCTGGAGGACGGTTCCGGAGCCTAGAAAGATTGCCGCGCCCCAACGGCAATGGCTTCGCGGCAGCGCGGCCGCGCGGAGCGCACCTACCAGGATGCGGCCGCGTGCTTCCCCGCCTTTGCCTCACCCGAAGGTTAATTTGGAACGCTTTTTCGAAGAACCACAAGGCTTTTGTGCGCGTCTAATGACCGAATAACGTCCAAGCCAACCTCTTCAAAGTTGTTAACGACGTCGGCTACACGTCGCCAAAGAACGGAGCCCCGGAGTTTTCTGGAAGTCACTTCCATTCTTGTTGGTATATTTTGGAGACAAAAACGAGGAGCAACAGATTCTTGAGTAGGTTACAGAGTTTCATTAGCAGCTCAGTGCGCGTTCATCACTCTGCTTGGTGGAGAAAGACTGCACCACCAAGAGAATATTCCATCATTGCCTGGTAGACGGTCGACCTCAGACGTTTTGAATAGCACTTGAGGATTTTGTGACATTCACCATCCGCACTGATAAACACATGAGAGGTAGAATCTTGAACAGACGCAGAGCACTAGTCATAGAAGGCTTGCAGTCGGCAGCTTCAATCACCTTTGAGTTGCCTCAAGAGAACGTCTTGGGACTTCGGGGTTAGCAAAATCGAGCGTGCAAGCATGCCAAAGTAAGATCGTGCTGCAATCTATCATTTCTGATAAGGCATCTGTCGCTGACTTTAATGGTGACGTGGCAGTCTTCTGCCAACCAAGTGAAACATCATTGCCTTTGCAGCATGGCCCCGCCGGAGCCTCGACTTATGAAGCGAAGCCTCGCGAAGTCCCAGTTCAAGTTTAAATATTAATTGCTCTAACGAGCCACAGAGGACCTCAAAACGATCGGCCTACCCCCGGGAAGTAGCCCATGCGTCAGAACTTCACAAAGAGCGACATGTTTTTGGCTCCGGATATAACAAACGGGTATAACGGGTAAAAGGACTTGGCAGGTGGATTTTCGCGGCTTCGTCTGGATGGCACAGAACTTTCTGAGAAGACGCTAAGAACAGAAAGAGAAGGAGTCTTTCAGCGTCACAGCGTCGTCTCAGATAACGCATAAACGCACGAACGCTTTCTAGAGCTGCGGCGTCAAGTACTGTCAGCTTCCAGTGGAGTGGCGTGCTGCCAAATTATACATGCTTATCCACTACGGCTCTCAAATGAGCCCTTGCCACGTCGTCACTCATTCCCAAGAGTCGAGATGCCTTTGCGCCTGAGTCGCATTGCGCGGCCGTTCTGCACAGCTTCTCACGCATAGATTGTCGAGAGGCTGGTTTGTGGTCACTCAAGACCGAAGCGCATGCGTGATTGTGGCGGAGATCTTAACGAAGGACAAAGTCGCCAGCAAGTGTATTAGAGAATGAAGATGGGCAAATATCGTAGAAAGGCAACGCAAAAGTTCACCCTGACAGCTCCGACTGGTGCTGTGCGACTTTGTAGCCACAGGAACATCGGTTTCGGAATGTCATGTTTCTCCTTCTTGAGGCCAATTGAGAGAGCGTTCAGAAACTCAAGAAGCAAGCTGGCATATCCGATGCTCGCAGCGCACTGGTATTGCCGTTCCTCGATCGTGACACGTGGTGATGTCCGGGGTGAAAGCGACGCTGGCTTTTGGGGGCTGTGCAGACTCGTAGAGGCCTTGTCGAAACAGCGTCCTTTCACGCACGCCAACGGGACTGTTTCCGACTGATAGCAAGGGTGTTGGAAGATCAAGATTTCATCAAAAAACTGCGGATAGATTGCTTGCGGTTTGCGGAAGGGTGAGTCCGAGACAGGCAGAGCGTAATACGTCTCTTATCAAGTTCACCGATCACATTGACAAGCTGCGTGCAGATACCCTTTACTAAAAGCGATGCGGATCGGAAAAATCTGTCCCGTGAAATCCAAATAACCGGTAGCTGTAGCGTCAGAATACGACTTGGAAGGCTGTGGCAAGGTGCCATGTTTTGCCGAGATCATATCACTATAAACCTTGACCCGTTTTAAGAGCGGTCAAGTAGGACGGGACCGTACTGAAAATCCGGACAACGAAGTACGAAACGTACTGAATTCTCAAATGGCCTCTCTTTCATGTCGCCGCCGCTCTGAAACGGGTAAAGCTATAATTTAAGGACGGAGGCGACCCTACATCATGACATCATAAGGTAAATCAAGTACAGTGCCGCTCTTAAAGGTCAAGTAGACTGCCTTTCTGGGCCCCGGACCATGCATATTAGCATATGGTCTAAAAGGATTTTGGGGCCGTGGCATACGGAATAGGGACGGAATTTCGGCCAAAAACTGATTTGGCATGCATGCATCTTACCCTGACGTCATAGCCACAACCCACTAAACTTCTGCTCCGGTGTTGCAGAATTACGCAGAGTAGACAATGACCCGACGCGCGCACAGGCCGTGGATCCAACTAGCATTTGCCTTCGAATCCGTAATCCACTCTTCCACTCGCTAGTGTATGCAAACAAACAAACAAAGCAAAAGAAGAGCAAACAAAGCAGTGAGCCTCTCACAGTGAGGAAGCCCGAGAAAGTAGACGTACTGTATCTCTTGCCCGCAATACAGTACGTACCAGCTTTAGGCCCAACCGTTTTTAGGTCCTTTATGCTGATACTATTCCGGCACTCCAGCGGTAGAGCTGGCGAAGCGCTAAGTGGACACGTGAATTGGCTTCGTGACCGGTTGAAAACACTGTTGGCGAGAACCAGCAACCTTCAAGTCTCCAGCACTCACTGCTTGAAACGCATCAAGGTCACACTGTCCATTTGATAAAAGACTCATGAGTACAATCGCGCAGAGTCGGAAGCCGATGTTCAAATGCCAAAGCGCGCGTAACACATTCTTTAGCGCCTTCCCGTCCCGCGCGCTTCTTCCAACCTGGACCGATCAGTACCGGACGCGAGCAACTTGCTCTGTACCCGACTTACGAGGAAGTATACACTCGCATGCGGCATGACCCAAAGTGCGTTTGCCGCTCACTCGACGCCGCTTGGGTAAGCGGTGTGCCGCTTCTTCCAGAAGCCAGAATGCGCGGAGCTTTCACTTAGCACTAAGTCCCTGCGCATCTCAGTGTCAGTAGCATGCGGAGCGCACTCCCTCCGTATTGCAATCGGATGATTGGTCACTCTTACCTACAATGTAGTACAAATGTACCGTGCTGCTTATTGCAGCCTGAGGGACCCGGTTGTGGGCCCTGAGCAATTGCTCGCAATCACTCCAGCAGAGCTACGGCGGGCAGCACGGCCTGGTAGGCACGTCCCGAGTCTTCCATACACCGGATTGTGTATTGTACAATAATCAATCTATGGCGGCAATAGTGTCACACTGTCAATGATACCCATTGTATCCCATCCATCATAGCCATAGCTGAGGGTAATATCCGATTGTACCCTGATTGCCTAGGCAGACTCGCTTATCGGAGGGGTGAAGGAGGGCTGATCGATGCCATCCCTTTCATCCCTTTTTAAAAAACTAGCACGCCTGAACGGCATAGCGCGCAGCTTGCCAAAAAATATCGAACGGTTGCTTTCGGGAACCTTTCTGGACTTTGTCGTGTCAGATTTTACAAATAGGAAAGGCATTAACACACTTTACGTACTCTGTATACGGGCTGCCTGCAATCAAGCATACCATCACATACCTACGGTACCGTATCATGCACCCGGCGTACGTAAGACAGGCGCGTCGATCGTATGGCCGGTATTGTATCAATGATCCATAAGTAACCCGGAAATACCGTCTGTACCGGAAACAGGCAAGCCGCAAGTGACTAGCAGCCGCTATTGGCCGAAGCCGACGAAATCGGAAACCCCGTACCTGTTCAGGAACTCACAACTAACTGCCAAGTGGCAAGCAGCAAGGGACTTCGAAAAACCTGGTACAGTGTGGTTGTTTGCGCATTGACTTGCAGGCCAGGAAGTTGCCATGGGTGTCAACACTTTTGCCGGGCCTGCCGCGAGCCACCCCTATGCCTGGTGATACCTACCGGTAGGTCTAGCTAGCAGGCCGGAATTTGCGCAGTGGCGCCCCTGGGCTTCGCCCCGGAGCGCCGGCTAGGTATGCTTCCCTGGGGCACCCAAGCCCGGGCGCGCCACTCCTTCACTCAGCACTGCATCATGCTGCATGTTGACTTCACGCTTCACCTGATCCCGGCGGTCAGTCGCGCAAGGTTCCTGGTGGCGCCTCTCTCAACGTCCTCATGCAGTTGTTGACGACATTTCTCTGGGAAGGACGTTGACAGCTGAATCAGGTTTCTCGTTCAAGTACACCAGATACTTCAGTACATCGCCCCATCGTCAGAAAGGCGCCCGAAGTTCTTGCTCAGTCGCTATCGACCTTTACCTGCATTGCAAAAGAGCCTAAGTCGCAAGGAATAGCGCGCCTGACATTTGTTGCCGTTGCCCTGTGCGCGGTGGCCGTTCTGCTGGCTTGCCAGACAGAAGGTAAGTAATGCCTAGTTTCTGCTCAGTGATATCGCACGTCCATTTGCACTTCTAAGTCTTGTTTCCCTGATCCTTCTTAGCTAAAATGGGTGACGGGCTTGTCCAAAACCAGGAACGAAGTTTAACTTCATTGTGTATCAGTTGCAAGAATGCCTCAGCTCTCATATAGCTAGCAGAAAAAAGGCAAGTAGCCGGGCGACAGAAGTTTAGGTCTTGCAGAACGGAGGACTTGAGCAAAGAAGTTGTATGCTTTTAGCAATCATCCTGACAGGAGATTGATCTGGTAAACCATCTTCATTGCAGTGGGCGGGCATGACTTGCTTCGTGGTATGTTATTTCAAGGCGCCTGCTTTCTAGAAGCCCACTGTGCTTAATTCGTCATCTGCGACTTTTCATCATCACACAAGCGTATGCGCCATCAAATCTTTCTTGAGTACCACAGAAGTCTGGACTGCTGGTCTTCTGCATTGTAATTGATGGTGGTACTATTGACGACCAGCGCAACTCCAGAAACTCTTCCTAAGATGGGACTGTTCTACCGGACAGAATCCTCTCGGTGCTGCGAGGAACAACTGTCGATGTTGACGCACTCCATCTTTATCTCTTGTTCACAGCTGAGCAAAACATCAGCTGCTGACGATTTGCGAGCAAGAGCGGAAGCGCTCACGCTCTTAAGCAGATTTCGACCTTTCTATATTTTCCTGCAGCGCAACTCCTGAATGCCACACTCCCAGCAAATGCGGCTGCGGTGAGGCTAAACACCACCTGCGTGGGGTACACCGACGCGGTGACCCTGCAGGCAAAGCTTGATTCTGCAAGGTTGGGGGAGGTCATCGTAATCTGCAGGTGAGACTGAACACCCCAGAAAGGAACTGACAAACACTTGGAAAAGCTCCCACCTTATGATGTTTTGGCGTAAGAGTGTTTCAAGTGGGGGGAGCGCAGTAAAGGCGTAGAGTAGAAAGCAGATGGGAACGCTGGAAATGCTGGATTGTGGTCTTTGTCAAGAGGCAATGTGACCAGTCCTTCAAGGGTAAAGTGCGGTTGATCATGAAACGGAAGGCTGTATGACTTATGACGTGACAAGAAGTGTCCGAAGAATGGTGCAAAGAAGCTTCAGACTACTTGAAGCAGGAGCTGATTCCTGGTGGGTCCCAGTGCGTCAACCTCTGGATGCTTTTCATCTGGTAAGGTGTGACCTAGTTGGACTTTCTTTGGCTGCGTCGCTGTTCATCCTACTATAGTAAGGAGATGGGCTTCTTGCACTCCGGCATTTTCTTTCTTACTGTCACTACAATGTGCTTTGTTCAACCGACAGCGATGCTTGTCTGCAATGCCAAGCTTGCGCACGGAACTCCGCTTTGAGCTTCTATCACAATGCTGGTCCCTCAAGCGACCCGCAAGTCACAGTTTGCAAGATCTGACAGCTTCCTGAAAATGGTCTCACCACCTTGATTCTCCTTATTGCCACGTTGCCGCTCTTCTCATCGCGTCTGTCACAAATCCTCTGCAAATCAACCTTTCCACGTTAATCATTAGTGGTATATGCAAGGCAATGCCCTCACAAACTTACACGCTGCTTAGGCAAACTTCACCAACTTGGCTTATGTCCTGCTCTTCTAAGCCCGTTGTTCATCCTTGCAGTGACATCGAGGTTAATGTAACCCTGGCTGTCAGCGAGGCGGTTACAATCGTTGGAGCCAACACCACCACCGGAAGGCCCTGCAAGATCTACAGGAGCCCCTCCACTACATATGTGAGCAAACTCTGCGTTAACCTTGCGGGCTACACCACATATGATATAGGACGCTTGAGAGTCCTCAAGCATCTGTTGTTTCCACTATAAAAACCCAATCCCTACATACTTCAGCAGGAGCGTTTTTAAGCTCGGCCTAAACCTCTGAAATCACTGTGGAAGGTTGACTCCGATGCAAGAATGGCGGCTCTATGTCTCGGCTTTTCAAAGACAGAAACCATCTTCTGCTTGCAAAGTCCCATGACAATTAACCAGGTTAAACGAACGACAGGATGAAGCTATCAAGCTCCTTGATCCTGTAGTATAGCAGAGATGAGGTGTTGGATCACTTTAATTGCATAATCAAAGAGCCTTCCATAAGCTTGGGTGTCAAGGTTAATGGTAGTGTGGATGACTTTGGAACCGGAGGCTCAGAGTCCTGTACCAGGGGGTCTGCTTAAAGATCATACACCCACTCCCCACCTGAAACAATTGAAGCCAATCACGTTCAATCCATTCAGAATCTCATCCAAAATCACCACCAATTATCGCAGTTATTGACCTGACCACATCTTCCTTGGTGCAGCTTGAACTGTTCGAGATTGCAGACCTGGTGGGGCCTGTTGTCTTTCAAAACCTGGAGCTCTCAGATGGCTACGTAAGTGGCCCCTCTTTTCTGATATCTCCGAGGAAGCGATAGGTCGTGTTCGCTTTTATTTGCAGCAACCGTGTTTAGCAACCTCCACAATACTGTGTCCAGGGGAACTGCAAGGTTGCACATCATGACCTCATTGGTGCAGGTAATTTGGTGAGGGGTCCCAGGAGACCAAGACAAAAGCTTTTCTCATGTTGAAACCTTTCTACCCACTAAATTCGCCCTTTTTGCCGGTCCCCGCTCCCTGTCTGTTGTATCAATTCTCTGCCTCTCTATCAGCTTCCATGATAAAGAGAAGTTTAGTGAGCTTCTCCGCTTACTAGGTCTGGGGGACTGCTAAGCAGAGCTTTCGAAAAGGAGTGCGTGTAAGAAGAAGTGTGTGCTGTAAATGAGGCGCCTCTAGCTAGGCTTTTCGAAAGAAGCCACCTCAGCGCCGCGATCCTCCATACCTTACAGCCCCTGGACCCTGTTTCCTGAGCCTCGTGAAGGCAAACATTGGTTAATTACCTTTCTCTGTGCAGGGTTCCCTCTACGGCGGTGCGGTTCAAGTCGGAGACGAAGCCGTGGCCAGCTTTATCAACGTCGCTTTCACCAACAACTATGCTCTTTATGTGAGTCGAACCTCTTGCATCCCAACTTGAGGACCCTCTGAAGCTTCTGTCCGACCACCCACAAGCATGCTGAGGTCAAGAAATCGGTTGAAGAGGCCCCTCGAGTCAGATGGTCTCGAAGACAGGTTCTGACTCTGCGAATTCTGTGGTACCGGTCACTTGATCAAGTCTCCAGCGGCAAGTGCAAAATCAGTCAGGAAAGGCTCCGTACGCTTTTGAAACTTAAAGTTGCCAGAAATGTAGGTGTCTGGGCTCCATCCCTGCCGCCTGCATGGGATGCAGTTGCACTCGTGCCGCTTCCCAATGCCTTCTCGTTTGTGTTTTGCACTGGTGTAAAACGGCCCTTTTCCTTTCCAGTACGGTGGGGCCGTGTATACTGGAGGGAACACGACCTTCCTCGGATGCGTCTTCGTCAACAATACTGCGGAAAGTGCTGGAGGTAACGGCCTTCTTCTCTCAGCCTGAGACCTTACATGATCCGCATCAGGATGCGTTACCAACGTCCTGGAGGGATTTGGCAAAACTCTCGATGTATCATTTTAGTTTGTTGCAGCTGTCTAATGTTTCCGGGACTGGTGTCAGCTTGAGCTTAGAAGCCAGTATTTTCCACGTATTTTCGAGGATGCTCCATCGGTTTCCAGCGTAACCAACACAGGTACGGGTTCAACTGACATCCGGAGGCTGATCGTCTTGTCGACTGTCCGTTTGTTGTTTCTTGCCCATGCAATCCCCTGTTTTTGTTCTTGTTTGGTTGGAAAGAAACGGGGGCAACTGATTTGGCCTTCCCAGGTGTAAGTCGCCTTGAAATTGAGACGTGCAAAACGATGAAAACACCGGACAACCCAGACAGACAAGAACGGACACAGTCCGACCAACCTGTTCAGATCTATCGATTTCATTTTGTCTCTTACAGGTGCTGTCTACCAGCATAACCCCTCTGGAGGGGAGACGTTGACTGTGTTGACTGTAAAAGACAGCCTCTTTTACGCTTCCACTGCTGGCAGCTCCGGGGGCGCAATCTTTTTGCCCGACGTCGGGAATTTTGTCCTCGTCACGGACAGCGTGTTTGCCGAGAGCGAAGCTACTGAGGTGGGTTATCAACGGAAACCACATGGTTTCGGGGGTTTTAGGAGTTAGGGATCTGCATGCGTGGCTTGAAAAGATTGAAGAAATATGAAGCTTTTTGGGTCGTAAGGTCTCAGAATGTAGGTAACCAGGGCTTGCAAGATTCTCAGTTGAGTATGACATGCATATGCATAGAGGTGGCAAATGTCGCGGGTTGATGCACGCATGCTTCAAGGGCTTAGCTTCCATGGAGTTTAGAGGGTATCATGTACGTCGATTTACTCAGGCTACTTTTGACCTTCAAGGTGTCAGGGAATCAGGGTTCTCAGAGCTAAGGGTTCTGGACCCTGGTGAAACGTCTCGAAGGAGGGAATTAGGGTTGGCAAACTTAGTTGCAACACTAGGTCGGACGAACAGCTCTATGTAAGTCGATGTCAGACTGCCCACGAGCCTCCAACTTTCTCTTAAACCCGTCTCCTAAGAAACAACTGTACGATTCTTAGAACAAGAGCGAGGAGCGAGGTATGGGAGAAGATATCCCATAGAAGCGCAATTGCGTGGCAGCCTGGAGCTGCAAGAAAAGTTGCCGATGACTGACATTTACGTAAGCGTTCTACCGTTGCAGGAGGGAGGTGCTATCTACGTGCCCTCTGGATCCAACGCGACCATCATTTATAACCACTTCATCAACGGGACGTCAGCGGTTAGTACTCCCTCCCCAAATTCATGAGTTCAGCTGCCTTTTGCTTAGCACGGTCCCCTTGACGGAGACAAGCCCACAAAAGCAGCGGATTTGAGGATGGTGTTCTATTAAACATGAGAAGCGATTGTCGGACATGTGAAGAGATTGTTGGTTCAGTTTGGAGGCGTCTTATACGATAAAGGGTCACTGGGCAATGTTGCGAGAAACGTCATGTGTAGGTAGTCAACCTTCGGTCAATACACTTGTGCTGTTTCAAGAGCTTGTATCTGAATATCAACCCAGTATCAAGCGTTCCGACTCTGCCATAGACGACGCTCAAGTGGTACTTGATTCGCAGCCAAAAGCTTCACTTTGCAATGCCCAGCTTCCGCATGTGCTCAAGCTGGCTGCAAAAAGTTTCGGTAGGGAACTCTCTTGATCCGGTCTGAGCTTAATGATCCTCCCGGAGAGTCTTCTTCGACTGACCATCAAACCTTCACAAAACTTTTGACCATTGTCGTTTGATGCAGATCGGAGGCGCAGCCGTTTACATGCATGGTTGCGGTCTTTTCGCCGATAACCTCTTCGAGAACAACCATGCGCCACGTGGAGGCGCGGTCCACACTTACGGCTCAGCGAGCACGTCCTTCTGCGGCGGGGATACCTTTACGGCAAACTTGGCGCAAGCGCAGGTGGGTTAGCCAACCTAGTACCGTAACACAGCCAATCCTGATGTCGTAGCACAGGTGACGGAGTAGATAAACACATGCAGCTTGGCGTAGACCCGTTTACATTGGTCACTCACTGTTGCTTAAGTTTACGGTTACGATTAGATGACGCGAAGTGCAAATATCGGAAGGGTTTGCAGTATCCAATACTTGGTTAACGTATGGGCTGGTAGCTTGGCGACTTGCTTTCTTTTCTGACAACGGCTTCGTTTACGTGGGCTGGTTCACACCATCTGGGAAGAATGATAGAGGAACAGGCTCTGGCTGCTTTCATACGGGTACGATTGGAAGTCGCTGGTATCAGGAAACGGAAGGACGATCTAGTAGAAGCGGAATCACTCCGTGGCTGGAAAGGAGTTTCTCGTTTCGAAGTGACCATAGAGCTTTTCTGCTGATCTCCCTCCGTCGGAGTCCGACATCAACAGTCTTTTCGTTCCGTCGCATCAGGATCCTACCCGATCTTCCTCGCGCTCACTCAAGCAATTCGCTTCTTTACATTTCTCCTTTTTCGACACGTCGTAGAGCCTGGGCGACAACGTCTACGTCGAGTCGGAGTTCACTAATGACGTCACGATTGTCACGTCGTTCTGCCCCGCGATTCCCGTCGGAATGGTTAACAGGCGGAGGCCTTTCGACGCCTACGTTAACACAAGTGAGGGGACTCTCAAGATTGCTCGCTTAAGTGTTCTCCTTCTCGTCCTCTTCTTTCTCCTCCTTTCGCTCCATTCTCAGCTTTTCGGCTCGTGGAGCTTCTCCTCTGCTCTCCTTGTTTTGTCTCCTCGTAAGGTTGGGGCCCGCCACCGCGTCATTTTCACCTTCCTTTTCTCTCGTGTTTCCTTTCTACAGTCTTCGTAGTGCAAGTGCAACCCATCCATATAGACGTAAGAGCAAAAGGGGATCCTGTTCGCAAAAGGAAGTCATTCACTTGTTCTGCAGCAGCTGTTTTGCCAGCGCACGCCCATTGCCTTCCGTCCGTCGTAGCTTTCAAAATTGCAGCTTTCTCAGAATTCGTTTTCGGTGCCGTGTTTGCCACTTCAGGGAAAGTACTAAGCTGGAGAACTCATGGGCTGTTCCTGAGAGCAGGGCACTCGCTGAGATCTCAAGGGCTTCCTAGACAAACAAAGCTCTGGTTTTCAATCGGGCTAATTAAGAGGCAACCGGCCTAAAAACATGCCCGCCTGGTAAGAGGGCATTGAAACAGACACCAACCAGGTATGGTTGACGGAACATCCTCCCTTTGCTATACCAATCTTTCTCAACCATTTTCCTCCAGGCTGCGTCGACTGCAACCCCAGCTTGATCTGCGATAAGAACGCGACCGGGATCCTTACCCCCCGCGGCGTCAACTGCACGTGCAACGCGGGCTTCTACGGCAGCGGCTACGCGTGCTATCCGCTCGGCTATAACGCCAGGACCTTCTGTGAGTCCGCGAGACCCTGCGTCTGATCTCGAGGCTACGCTACTTTACACATCCTAGTTCGATGAGGTGTCTTACCTCAGATTCTTCATCAGAAGGCCCGTAGCATGGGTCGAGACGCGTTGGGCGAATATTTGGTAGCTGCAAGTGCAGTGCGTCCAGATTCTGTTGACGTGCAAAATGAGCATCATGTTCACTCGTTTCAGAGGCGTCCGCGCGGTGTTCGTGTCCGCTCGTTTCGCGATCGTTCGGTCTTACGCGTGATCCGGATCTTGCGGTTCCGGTTAGATACCCACCGGCTATGATCGGTGTAAAAGTATTACTCACGAAAAGGGCGGCCAGGACTTTCTTTGCTCGACTTGTCTCTCAATTGCTACTGGAGCACCGCAAGCAAGTGTGCCATCACACGCTTCTTGTATTGGACCAAGTTGATGCGTAGTTGATGCGGCGAACACGGGTTCGTAGAGCATGTTCCGCCCAAAAACGCTTCTGTTCGAGAACAAACGTCGGAGTCTGGGCAACTGATTGCGCTGATTTCCGCGGCTTCATCTGCAGTCAATCTGACGGCCACACTGAACGCAACGGTGACCAACATTATTGCCAACCTGACCCGTTCTACGACGGCGTCAAATCGCACCTCGGTCAACGTCACAGCTCTGATAGCCGGTGTTGTGATGACGCCCTAAGACCCCAAAACCGATACCAAAGGGTCCACTTGCGCTTGGGGCCCTCCGTTGCGCTTGCGGCCACAGCCCTGATAGTAGCTAGTGCTAATTTGGCCAACGAATTAGCATAAGCTCTGGACAAAGAATTGTGGTGTCGCCTTTGTGAAGAGGAGTGTGTGCCGGTGACAACGGAGTGCAGGGGTTGTTTACGCAGGCGCTTGACTTTAGTTGTTTAGGTGTCGGTAGATACGGTCTTAATTTATGTCTCAGGAGGATAGTCTTTGACTATGTGGGTTCTTGCAGTTATATATGTTGCTCGCCTTGGATCTGGAAAGGTGCGCATGAGTCGTAGAAACTCTTGAAGAGCTGCGTTCACAGGGCAGCTTGGCTCCAAACCGGAGCTCAACAGGGGCCGAACCGGAGCATTCCGCTCCGGAAAAGTGGCGGACGAACCGGAGCGAGGCCCCGGTTCGCGCCCGGTTCACATGGAACAGGAACCGGTTCATGCAAATCGGAGCCGTTTCCCATGAACCGG